ATTTTATCAAGGGTTGGACAGTTTGCATGTTGTTTTCCTTAGGATTGCAGCCAGGAATACAGAAACTACAGCTGTTTATGAAGGGCAAGGTCAGGAATCTAGGTCACATACCAGAAAAATCGATAGACTCTCCAAGACCACTTTATCTAATGCTACGTAGGGCTTTGTGAGAGCCCTCTAATACATGCCTCCTTCTCTTGTGATATATACACTGGCCACTTCTAGAATCAGTAACTTGTTTCATCTGAAAATCTTTCTGGAATTAAGGGGAATCAGAATTTTCCCCCAAGTATTTTTAAGATGGTAACAAACAAAAGGGCCCTCATATCCTTGGATAGTTGTTTGGGTGTTGATAACGTAAGCAAAAAGGAGAAATAGTCTCTTTTAGGTAGAGAGATATCGTCAGGCATAGGAACCACATAACACACTTAAGCAAAAATAGTGGACTCTGAAGTTGAAAATCACACTAGAAGTCGTTATACCAGGTGATGTAGACACAACCTTCAAAAGTAGATGTTGAGCTGTTTCTAGAAGACACCTAATTACCCTCCTTCTAAAAGGCACTCTCCCTAGATGCTTTAGCCTTATCTGATCTCGGGCATTTTGTCCTCCCCCAAATCACAGCATTATATACATCATTGAAGAAGGAAATGATGAAAAACCCCAGATTTGGGAATCACTTAAAGTAATAATCTCCTCAGAGCAGACAGGAATTATTTCCTCAGCCATGGACTAGCAGCCTAAGGCCTTCAGGGATTGACCCTTTTCCTTGGTAAAGACTACATTCTGTATCTCTTCACTCAAGATTTTTCTTTCATAATTGAGATTTTATCAGTTGTTTTGAGGTTAAGTACACAGACATTTCAGTTTGTACACAATTCTTAACTTTCGTACCCAAAATCTAAAAAGTCATGTAGTTGTGATTCTTTCCTAAACAGTTATTTTGGTGACTTTCTGGCTTAAAATGTGCAGTTAGCTAATTTTCCTTAATAGAGTATCAAGTACCAATATCTTCAAATGTTGATACGCTTTTACATCTAAGTCCCACTAGTTCACAATTTAATATCAGATGCTCTAGATCCGTGGAACTGCGGCTCGCGAGCCACATGCGGCTCTTTGGCCCCTTGAGTGTGGCTCTTCCTAAGCCTTGGGAGTACCCTAATTAAGTTAATAACAGTGTACCTACCTATATAGTTTAAGTTTAAAAAATTTGGCTCTCAAAAGAAATTTCAATCATACTGTTGATAATTGGCTCTGTTGACTAATGAGTTTGCCGACCACTGCTCTAGATAATCAAACCTTCAATCTTTCACAGCACATTAACAAAGTTACTAGGAAAACTGGAACTACTATACCAAAGATGTTGCAGATGCACAAAATCCTGAAAGGGAGAGGCCAAGATCAAGGAGTGGTTTTCTTTAGGAAATAATTCTACCAAAAACATGAGAATAGAAGTAATTTAATATGTTCAAGACATATTAAATGCATGATTAATTCCATATTGCCATTTAGGATGCTTTTGTATTGTAGGATATAAAAACTACCCCATCTATGGAATATTAAACTGACACCTAAGATAATCAAATCCTCTCCCAATATTCAATATCCCACTATTTTCTGGTTGTCCCCCCCCCCCCCCGCAAAAAAAAACAACCCAACCAGCATAAGAAGCTAAATTTAGACCAAAAATGGGCTGAAGTGGAATTCCCTCCTTCTCCTACTACAAACATTGCATTTCCAAAATAGTTGATATAAATATTCTTCTGGATTATACAAGGGAGGCAGGGACCACTGATGAGACATGGTACATGATATTAATCAGACCTGGCTTCTTTCTCTTCTGCTACATCCAAGTCTGGACTCCCCTCATTTTTAGTTTCTCCACTTTCTGCAGATCTTTAGGTTCCTGGTTAGCCACTTTGGCCTGTTTTCCCTTTGCTCCCCTCCCCCTTTTGTTTGTACTTTTTTTGTTTCCACTTTGCAGGAGCAGATTTAGCTGACAAACTTGCCCATCTCCTCTTAGGCTCCTTCACTGTCCCCTTGGTGGAACTGACCTTTTTCTTGGCCTTATGGCTGCAGGGGCAGGCAAGTGCTGACAACCTTCTGGAACCTGGGCTGCCTGGCTGCTGCCCCTTCTCCCACTGCCCAACCCTCCACGGGAGTGGTTTCACTCAAGTTTTAGGGCCCTCTTCCCTACTGCCTAGCTCTTAATTTCATAGAGATGATCAAATGGAAGGTTTTCTCCTATATTTGAGATGTTTTACTGCAAGACTACTCTGAGTGCCCTGGAGACCAGCTGCCAGTCTGAGGCCTGTTTGTTACTGGTCCATGATCGGGAGGAATGTTGTCCTGAATGTAAATCAACTGTGTCACTGAGCACAATGTTTAGTTCAGCTGACTTTTGCTTTTCTTTTCATGGAAAGACTGTGTCGAAGAAGGAAATGAATTGATTTACATTCTGGTATGGGTTCCGTATCTTGCTGTGGTCAGTACTTTGAAGAGAAGTCCATAACAGACCATTTTAGACATGCTTATCTTCGGAAATGAAGTGTCATACTTTCAAAAGAAGTGTGTCATGCTCTTTCTTCAGTGGTTTTTATTAGCTAATGTGCTTGAACAGAAACAGTTCTAAAGCCCAGTAAATCTCATTATTTCTGACATGCCTTCTGCCTTAACAGAAATCCACTGACCACCCCCTATTGTGTTTCTCCATTCTTGACAAAGTACTTTAAAGCAACTCCATATTCCCTCACCAGAATTCCATATCTCTAATAACAGTGTGGTTCTTACTTGATAACCCATGTTGTATCAAGCATCTTATCAGAAGATACACGTGTGTCTTGTTAGCTTTCATTTAGACAAAAAGAGTTGGCAAACTCTAAGCCCTGTAACATGATCTTTTCCCACAAGAATTCTGAGAAATCGCAGTATGTGGTTTGGCTTTCTTAAACCTTCCTTCTTCCTTCTCCAACTTCTCACCAGGGATGCTTACCAGATATTTAGCTGTGAGTAGTCATTATTTCTAAGCATCATTATTAGAGAAATTTTAGAATAGTTTTTTTTCTAGATTGCAATTGATTCTAGATTGTAGAATAGATTGCAATAGGTGTTTGTTCCCTTTGTGACCAGCCACTTTTCACTGACTAGCAGATTCTGTCATAAGGAGGGTGAATTTTCCTTAACTCTAAAATTACCCACTTAGATAAGGGTAAACGTAGCAACAACAGGGGTTATTTGACATCTTCCTCTGTCCAGAATCTGTAGGGCAACCATGTAGTCTTCTGTACCTAAACTCCTGCCTGACAGTGACAATTTGGTCCACGATCCTATAGCACCTGTTCTCAGCTTGAACTCTCTTCCTACTTCCCAGGGATCCAGCTGCAGAGTCATTTACTATACCAGCTGGCAGCAATTATTTTATTCTGTTTTGGAGAAGCTAGTATATTTTTGGCAGCTTTGTTTGGTAATAACAATTCATTGAATACTACTTCTGTTTTTAATCTTCACCCGAGGATATTTTTCCATTGATTTTTAGAGAGAGTGGAAGAGAGAGGGAAAGACAGATTCATTGACATGAGAGAAACAAATCGATTGGTTGCCTCCTCCTGCATGTACCCTGACCAGGGCCCTGGTGGGGGAGGAGTCTACAACTGCGGTACTGCCCTTGACTGGAATCAAACCCAGGACCCTTCGGTCTGCAGGCCGATGCTCTATCCATTGAGCCAAACTGGTTAGGGCTTGAATACTTCTTATATGATAGGTACTGTTCTAAACACTTTACTTTCATTTAATTATCATAGGTTAATTATCACTGTTTTACAGATGATGAGACCAAGTCTTAGAGAGAGAAACATGTCTAAAAGCACACAGTTAGTGACAAAAGTGGGTCTATCTAGCTCCAAGTCTCTGGTTCTTCTGTGTCCTGACCTGTTTTTCCAAGAATGCTTCATACTTTCCATCTGTTTTATTTTATTTTCTTAAAATACTAGAGGCCCGATGTGTTTGGCCAACAGGGAGCAATAACATGTAGATTGAGATGCCCTGAACTGTCTGATAGCAAGCAATCATTCCTTCTCAGGTTTGGGGAGCCAATTCCAGCATGTCAGCAAGGGCTGGATCATCTAGAGTGGCAAGGGCACTGATGCACGAAATTCATGCAAGGGGTTTGGCCCCAGCTGCTTCACCTGGGCCCGGCTGGCCCTCACAGCCCCTTGCAGCCCAGCTTCATCTGGAATGTCATCCAGATGGTCGTTCTGCTGTTCAGTCTAATTAGCATATTAGCTCTTTATTATATAGGATGTTTTATTGATATCAGAGAGAGGAAGGAAGAGAGAAACAGGGATAGAAACATCAATGATGAGAGAGAATCATCAATGAGCTGCCTCCTACACACCCCCCACTGGGGATCAAGCCTGCAACCGGGCATGTGCCCTGACTGGGAATCAAACCAAGAGCTCCTGGTTCATAGGTAGATGCTCAACTACTGAGCTGCTCCAGTGGGCGCCATCTGTTTTATTTTTCTGCCTGTCTTACAAGTCCTAGGTTAGGCCTCCCACAACAACTGACTTTTCCCCAAAAATTTCCAGTAAAATCAGGAGCTACAGATGGTTACAGAAACTCTTTCAGTGATTACCTGAAAAGTACATGCCCTCCTTGTTTAGGTGAGACCATAGTTGAACACAGGATGAAATTATTTGTAACAGTTTTTAGATCTCACTAGAGAAACATTTACTGTACTAGCCAATGAAAATGATATGTAGTCAGAGAATGAAACTTAGTTGTAAATAAGTTGAGCTCACTTTTGGGGGAAAAGACTGGTAGAATGTGTAGTAAATGAAAATAATTTATTAAAATATTTGTAACTGAAAATTATACTTGTGCCTTTGATCCTCACAAAGAATATCCATGTTTATTTTTAAGGGTAACAAATCACTCTAAGGCTGTTATTTACAAAACACTTTCATATATAAATTTACTTCACTGTTTTTTTGTTCATACAGAATTATTCCCTAATGGATGTTCAGCCTTCAAGAAAATTACTCCCAATATAGATGAAGAAGGAGCAATGAAAGAAGATGCTGGAATGATGGATGTCCATTATACTGAAGTAAGATTCCAGGGCCTGCATTGCCAGTTATATAAATTTAACTTCTTAAATATATGTTTATTTAACAATTATTACAACTAACTTAATTTGGAAGGTATCTAAGGTTGATGAACTGTAAGCATTAAGACTTCCCAGAGCAATGATGTTCCTGTTAGGAATGTGGCGAACCCTGTCTCTGGAACTCTTCCTAATGTCTGGTTTTAGAAATGCAACATTTATTATCTTCAAATCACCATCACAGTAACCAGATCAGGGTCAGCATAGTTTGGAGAATCTTCCATTAAAATATTGTTAAGGTAACAGTTAAGCAGAGGATCCATACAAGTATTTTTGAAATGGAAAATTTCTACTCTAAACTTCATATGGGTAGCAAACAGATTCAGTTGTCACACAGTCAACCAATATTTACTGAGCACTGACTTATGAGCAAGGTTCTGAACTTGATGATATAGGAGCTATCAGATAATTAGATATGTCTGATCTTTAACCTGTAATGTCTACCTGAGAGATAAGACACCATCACAAAATGAAAATAAGATAGTGCCATTTGAATAATATAAACAGTATGTTCCATGCAAAGTCAAAGGTGAAAGAGATACCTTTGAGCTGAAGTAGAACAGAGGAGGTATTAGAGTAGAGAGGGGTTTGAAGAATGAGTTCATCTTGAAGGCGTACTAACAGGAGAATAGCAGAAACAAAAGTTAAGTGGTGGGAAAGTATAAGGCAGGTTTTAGGCACAAGTAAGTGGATCCTTTGGACTAAACCAGTGGATTTGTATTAGAGAAAAGTAGTAGCTGAGGTCTTAATTTTGAGAAACTATGAATATTTGGGCTTTATTCATTAGACTGTTGAATTGCTATTAAAGGTTTTTGAGCTGAAGCATGACAAGGTCAAAGCAAAGAAGAGGAAAGGTTAATTCAGTGGTAGTATGTATTGGAAGTAGATAGATAGGGGCTAGAGGCAGAGACTAGAGAGGGGGCTACCCTAAGGGTCCAATGTGATGCAATTGAGTTGGGGCCTAAACCCAAATAGTGACAGATTCAGGCAAAACTTTGACACAAAGAGGAAAACTTGCTGACTGTAGGAGGGGAAGAGTCAAAGTAGCTTTGAGATTTCAGGTTTGGATATTAGAGAAAAATGATAGATGGATGATTTTACAGGTAAGATTATGAATTCAGTTTTTGATGTGTGTTGAATTTGAAGTAAAAGGTTATCAAAATAGAAATAAACATTAGGCCATGAGAAATTCAGAACTGGACCTAAGCAGAGAGATCAGGATTGGAAATCCGTGTTTGGAAGTCATCAAATCAGAGTGAGGATGGGAGATAATATAGCAAATGAAGACCAGAGGACCAGGGAGTGAACCATACAGAACTTTACAATTGAAGAATGGGAACATGAAAAAAAAAAAGAAAAAATCAAAAGCAGAAAGATTTAAGGAATTGTAGTCCCATGTGAATACATTTTTAAGTTGTATTAAGAAACACAAGAAGCAGTCAGGTTAAAGTGATAGAGACACACTTCATAAATACTAAATACTTTATGAGCTGTTTTTTATAATACAAGCAAATCTCAATTAGCTCTAGTTTACTTAAGCTAAAATGATATGCCTGGAAGCTTTACCTACTGTTTCTGTACGGGTCTGTCTCCTGGTCAGTAAAATAAAGATAGTAATACTGTCCTGGTTACTTCACAATAAACCTGACGGCTCTTTATAGGTCATTAAGTGCTGCATAAATATCAAGCTTTATCACTGACTTACTTGAGAGTGAGGTTCCTTTTATGCCCAGAATCTAGAAGAGTAGATATTTAAACACGTTTGCTGGATTAATCATAACAGAATCGAGATACTGGAATTTTAGTTCCAGTTCATTATCTGACTGTGACCCTTTGGGTAAATTAATTCACTTTTTGGATCTTAGATGACTTTCCATAGAATTCCAGTTGTTATGGCTGGCAGCAGAAAGATTCCAGGGGGTTCAGGGGAGATAAATGGATCAGCACAACTGAAGTTTTGTCCTTGCTTTCCAAAAAGCAGCTTTAGCTTTTTCATAAAAAATGTCCTTGAGCCTGTCTCTCTTTTATACTCTCAAGGAAAGCAGTAATGTTTCTTATTAGACAATAACTATACTCAATGTTCTGTGTAAACACATTTGTTACAACTCGTTTGTGATCTGCAGTCATAATTTATACATATACTTTATTTGAAATATACAGATAAAATCATGTTCTATGAAGTGCTGTTTAATGTTTTAGTTTACTTAATAAGGTTTCTTCCTTATACACTAGCCTATAGAAAAATAAAGACATTGATTTCCAAGTTTATTTAAATGAAAAATAAAAATGGTTTTCCATTTAATGCAGGGGTTGGGAACCTTTTTTCTGCCAAGCGCCATTTGGATATTTATAACATTCTTGGGCCATACAAAATTACCAACTTAAAAATTAGCTTGCTATACTTGGTCAAACATTTAATTAACTCACCCCTAATACTTTGGCAGGGCCAGACCAAATGATTTAATGGGCCTTATATGGCCCATGGGCTGGGCGTTCCCCACCCCTGATTTAGTGCCTGTATTAAAATATATGAGTTAAACCAATAATAATAAAATTTAATTTAGACCTCCTCAGTTTGGAACAAACAACTTACCCCTTTTCAAAGATAATCCTTCTCAGTGTATTACTATTTGTAAGTATAGTTAACGTCTTCATTATATGCATAAACAAAACGAATGTAGTTTACTAATGTCAACATTCGTTTCATATTTTTAAGGATGGTTTCAATTTCAAATATTTCAAGTATTTTATTTCAAACTATAGCCGAAACCGGTTTGGCTCAGTGGATAGAGCGTCGGCCTGCGGACTGAAAGGTCCCAGGTTCGATTCCGGTCAAGGGCATGTACCTGGGTTGCGGGCACATCCCCAGTAGGAGATGTGCAGGAGGCAGCTGATCGATGTTTCTCTCTCATCGATGTTTCTAACTCTCTATCTCTCTCCCTTTCTCTCTGTAAAAAAATCAATAAAATATATTTTAAAAAAAACAAACAAACAAAAAAAAAACAAACTATAGTTACACAAATATAATCCTGTGCATTTCATTTTAATTAGTACATTCTGTTAATTTTTTGTTAACTTGAAATGGTTCATAATTTATTTGCCCAGAACTCTAAAACTATTTTTAATTCCTGATTACATTTTTTCTCTTAATGCAGGAAGTTTTGCTGGAGTTGCTAGAACAATGTGTGGATGGCTTATGGAAAGCAGAGCGTTATGAAGTAATTTCTGAGATTTCCAAGCTGATCATTCCAATTTATGAGAAACGCCGTGAGTTTGAGGTAAGCATGTTTGCATCATTGCCCATTTTTTGTTGAATTGTGAGAGTTCTTTATATTTTCTAGATATTAAACCTTTATTAAATCTGTGATTTAATATTTTATTTTGGTCTTGGAAAAAGTAGTAATATAGTTATGTTACTATTACTATATGACCTCTGAAGAATAGAAGGTTAATTATATTATGACATTTCTTTCTTATCATAGAATATAAATACTTAATGTATCACTTTGAAACATTTGTCCACTTGGAAAGTTACAATCCTTAAAAATACTGTTCAGCCCTAGCTGGTTTGGCTCACTGGCTAGAGCAGCCGTGGGCAAACTACGGCCCGCAGGCCGGATCCGGCCCGTTTGAAATGAATAAAACTAAAAAAAAAAAAAGACCGTACCCTTTTATGTAATGATGTTTACTTTGAATTTATATTAGTTCACACAAACACTCCATCCATGCTTTTGTTCCAGCCCTCCGGTCCAGTTTAAGAACCCATTGTGGCCCTCGAGTCAAAAAGTTTGCCCACCCCTGGGCTAGAGTGTCAGCCTGTGGACTGAAGGGTCCTGGGTTCAAAACCAGTCAAGGGCACATGCCTGGGTTGCAGGCTCGATTCCCAGTAGGGGGTGTGCAGGAGGCAGCCGATCAATTACTATCTCACATCATTGATGTTTCTCTCTCTCTCTCTCTCTCTCTCTCTCTCTCTCTCTCTCTCTCTCCCTTACCTTCCCTCCCTTTCCCTTCCTCTCTGAAATCAATAAAAATATATTTTAGAAAAAAGCCATCCTAGTGGGTATGAAGTGGTGTCAGATTGTGGTTTTGATTTGTATTTCCTTAATGACTAATGATTTTGAACATCTTTCTATGTACTAGTTGAGCATTTGTATATCTCCTTTGGAGAAATGTATACTCAAGTCCTTTGCCCATATTTTTTCTTTTATATATAATTTTTATTGTGATATAATTGACATAACATTATATCAGTTTCAGGGGTACAAAATAATGATTCAATATTTGAATTGCAAAATAATCACCACAATAAGTCCAGTTAACATCCATCACCATGCTGCAGTGAACATGGGGGTGCATATTTCTTTTCATTCTTCAGATAAATATCCAGAAATGGAATTGCCATATCAGTTGATAGTTCTACTTTCAATTTTTTGAGGAATCTCAATACTGTTTTCCATAGTAATTGCACCAATTTATATTCCTACCAACAGTGCACAGGGAGTTCCCTTTCTCCAAATCCTCGCCAGCATTTATTTCTTGCCTTTTTGATAAGAGCCATTCTAATAGGTGTGAAGTGGTATCTCTTTGATTTGCTTTTCCCTAATAATTAGTGATGTTGAGCATCTTTTCATGTACCTGTTGATTTTCCCATTTTAAAATTGGGTTGTTTGTCTTTTTTAAAAATTATGAGAGTTCTTAATATTTTCTGAATCCAAAACCTTCATCAGATTTTAATTTGCAAAAATCTTCTCCCACTCTATAGGTTGTCATTTCACATTCTTGATAATGTTCTTTGCACCACGTGCTTTCCTTTTCTGGGTGTGCAGAAGAACATAGTCTTTGAAAACATCTGTGTACATGTATAAAAGCACGCCTCACTGAGGCTTATACTATTACTTATTTTTGTATCTGTATTTCATCTCCAAAAGTTTTTGCATGAATTGTTTATTCTATCTCTCCACCTAAGGATTCAAGCAAAACATTTTGCTTCTGTTTCAGTTTAAATAATTCAGAAATATCGAAAATAGTAGTAGTCAGTAATAATATAGTATTTTTAAAGTGCATGTTACCATTCAGATGTTAATGAAATAAAGCATGATACTTCAAAATACAGTGTTGTTTGACTGTTTTTAGCTCTATCCTTAGACCTAAAGTTAAGATTTTGTCTAATTGTGATAATAGGGATGGGGGTGTGAATGACCCTATCAAAACCATTTTGACAAGGAAATGTTTTTTATCCCCTGGGCACTTATCTTTTTTTGTTTTTTATCCCTGGGCATTTATCTTAAAGACATTTAATATTTAACCAATAGACAAAGCTGATTTGTATATTCTCATTTTTCAGAAACTTACTCAAGTTTATAGAACTCTTCATGGAGCTTACACAAAAATTCTGGAGGTTATGCACACAAAAAAAAGACTTTTAGGCACTTTCTTCAGAGTTGCTTTTTATGGCCAAGTAAGTACACATTAGTTCATAAAGTTCTTTTTCTTTTTAAATATTCACCTTTACATTATTAGATAACCATAGCAGCAGTTACTGGCTCTGGAATTCTGTCCAGATAGAGTGCGTATCACAACCACAGGAAGCCTCTGTTGTAAGTACAAAGTTCACTGTGACTCTCATATCTAAACCCATTAGGTCAGAGTCCAGCATATAGCATTTGAATTTTTCCCTCACTTTCATTTTCTGTTAAGCTTCCAAAAGTATATTTTTAATATCTAGTAGTTCAAGCTTTCAAATAAAAAACAGGTAAGTATACTGGAAACTAGAAAAATCTAGTGTGGAAATCTTTAGGCCAATCATGTTCATATGACTGTGAATTTGAAAATTCTCATTTATCTGAAGTTAAAAGGGGAAATATATGGACATGGATTTCAGTACTTTTATTTCAAATGTATTTCAAATGCATTATTAGTAGCCATTTAGCAGGTTTTCTTTAAATGCTGTTTGCTCATACAATTTATAAATGATTATATGTTTAACTTTACAACAGTCTTTTTTTGAAGAAGAAGATGGAAAGGAGTACATCTACAAAGAGCCAAAGCTCACTGGCCTCTCAGAGATTTCCCTGAGACTTGTTAAGCTTTATGGTGAAAAATTTGGTACAGAGAATGTGAAAATAATTCAGGATTCAGACAAGGTAACTATACCCTACATTGTGAAATCATTATTTGGTAGTTCCAAGCATGGTATATTGCTCCTGACTTTTTTTTTATATTAGCTGATGGAGGAGAAGCATGGAAATAGAATCTTTCCAGATAGTGAAAGAAAGGACAGGGGCTTTGGAGTCAGAGAGAGCAGGATCCAAATTTCCATTCTCTGTCACTTGCTGGCTGTGTGACTATGGGGAAGTTACTTAACCTCTCTGTGCCTTATTTTTCTCAGTAAAATTGAGATAATAATAGTGCCTTTGCTCTGGCTTGTGTAGTTCAGTTGGTTGGAGTGTCATCCCATACACAGAAAGGTCACGGGTTCGATTCCCAGTCAGGGCACATACACATGTTGTGGGTTCAATCTCCAGTCAGGGTGCTTATGGGAGGCAACTGATCGATGTGTCTTTCTCCCCTCCTCCCCCTTCTGCCTCTCTCTCATATCAATAAAAAGCATGTCCTCTGTTGAGGATTAAAATAATAGTAATTAGTGCCTTCCTCGTGGAGTTTTATATGGATTAAATGAGTAAATATATGGAAAGTGGTTAGAGTTTCTGGTACATAAAAAACATTCATTAATAATAATAGAAGCCAGCATGCTTAATAAAGGTTAGCTATTATTGTGATTGCTGTTGCTCATCATGATTCTCAATGTTATACTTAATGATTAAAATCATCTCAAGGCACACATTTTATTCTAAAGATATCCTTAGTTCAGTAGTTATATTTATAATGAAGTGGGTTTAGGAGAGATACCTTGGGTCTTATTCTAAAGGTTATCCATCTCATCAGGCCCTGCCAAGGCAGGATGAGAAAAGTTCCATCAAGAGAGGCCCTTTCATGGGAAATGCATAGGTCCCTATAGACAGAATTTCAGGAAAGCATAGCACGAATTTCTGACCATCCTTAGTTACCATGGGAGTGCCCAGGAACAGAGCTGATTTTGTTAAATTTAAATTCTTTATTGTTTGAAGTATTACATATATCTCCTTTTTCCCCCATTGACCTCTCCCCGGCCACTCCCACCCCCAGCACATGCCCTCACCCCCCTAGTGTCTGTGTCCATTGGTTATGCTCATATGCATGCATACAAGTCCTTTGGTTGATCTCTACTCTCTCCTCCCCTCCTTCCCTCTGAGGTTTGATGGTCTGTTCAATGCTTCTCTGTCTCTGGATCTATTTTTGTTCATCAGTTTATGTTGTTCATTATATTCCACAAATGAGTGAGATCATGTGATATTTATCTTTCTCTGACTGGCTTATTTCGCTTAGCATAATGCTCTCCAGGTCCATCCATGCTGTTGCAAATGGTAAGAATTTCTTCTTTTTTACAGCAGTATAGAATTTCATTGTGTAGACGTACCACTGTTTTTAAATCTACTTATCTGCTGATGGGCACTTAGGCTGTTTCCAAACCCTAGCTATTGTAAATTGTGCTGCTGTGAACATAGGGGTACATATATTATTTCTGATTGGTGTTTCTGATTTCTTAAGATATATTCCTATTCCTAGAAATGGGATTACTGCGTCAAATGGGAATTCCCTTTTTAATTTTTTGAGGAAATTCCATACTTTTTGCCACAGTGAGCTGATTTTTAAGATAGAAAGGACCTATATAGTTAGGATCTGTAGGCCACAGCAGTATTTCCCAGTGGACATGGTGCTTTGCAAAGCACTTAACAGCTAGTAGGCAGCATTGCCAGAGTGCAAAGCCCATGGCAATGGTGGAGACTTCACTGCCCACTGTGAAAATCATCTCTTCACTTTGTAGATTTACCTACATCTCTTTAACTTTAGACATATAAAAATAGATTTACTGGTAGGTCCAAAATTCATTAATATTTGGCAGGACCTCCTTGATTCTTTCCTTACTAGTTTTAACTATTTTGTGTTTTATTGTATTAAGAGAGCAAGAGATTTTTATCTCCTTGTAGCCAGATAGTCTTAGGCTTGCCACCACACTACTGATACTATTAATGGGGAATTAATGGAAAGCCAGGCTTGCTGAACAGCATACAGTTTTCTGTTTTATTCTGCCTCTGAAAACCTGGACAACATGTGCTAATGACAAACCACCATCAGGTGCCTGGACTCCTGACATTATTTGTATGCACAATATTTTAGTCATTCCCCATCGGCAACAGATATAATAAGAAGTTGCTGCTTTTAACATCCTTATTTCTTAGTGTGTAAGAGTAAAAATTAAAAACCACTCTTTTACTTTGCCAAAGAACAAAATGTGCTTAAGAATACAGACAGTGTAAAGAGCAGTTCAGTAATATATCCCAATATTTTAAACTGTATGTTTCCTTGGACCCAACAGTTGCACATTTAAAATTTTATTTTGTAGATGTACATACATTAAGATGTATGTTTAAAGTTATTTATTGCTGCAAAGTTTATATAGAAAAAACCTGAAAGCAGTCTAAATGTCCATATGGCTAAAGAAATGGTGGTATTACCCACAGAATGGATATAGTAACCTAGGTGTTAAGAGTTTCATATCAATACTTAGAAATCTACCAAGATATATTGCTTAGGAGGATAAAAGATGAGGTGCAGGTTGTATAGATAGTATGATCACATTTGTGTAAAACCTTATTCACATATACTCACTTGTATAAGCTATGCTTAGGAAATTTCAGGAACAATACATATAAAATTGTTAACCATGGTTAGCCCTGAGGAGGGGAACTAGAGTCTTACCTGGGAAGAAAGATATTTTTTACTTTTCATATATTCCCTTGTGTACTATTGGAATGATTTATCACACATAATTCACTTTATAAAGTTAAAATCAGGCGTGGCCTTTTTTATTTTACTTCTGTATTTTGTCTTAGCCAGATAATTAACTATCTCCTGATGGCTCTCTGGAGAGATCTAGCTTTTTAATGGGAGATAAAAGAAGGTTAAGGTTTCTGGAAATAGGCTTTTAGGTTTTTATGTAAGAGCAAGTAGAATAGATTTGGAGAAGTTAAAAGATGGTAAGAAACTTTCTATCCCCTGTCCATCTTATATATGTGGAGGGAAAAAGAGTTACAGAGACTATTTCTTAGAAGGTTTCTGTTGTTTGTTTGATATTTTGCTTCCTACACTAAACACAAAAAGGCCTGACTGTCATAAAATGTAAGATATTGGCAATGGCACAAGTCAATGTTAGTTGGCTTAAACACGGAAAGAGGGTCCTGGGCACCATCTGGAGCAGTGGTCGCCAACTGGTAATCCGTGGATCACTGGTGGTCTGTGATGTCTGAAAGGTTGGCGACTGCTGATATGGAGTACATCTATAATAATAAAAGGGTAATATGCTACTTAGACTGGACGTCTTCTGGACGTCATTCTGTACGTCCTTCCTGACGAAGCTGGGGCCCAGGCGAAGCCAGTCAGGGAAAGGAAGGCCTACTCTTGCACAGATTTTCATGCATCGGGCCTCCAGTAAAATATACTGTGTTAACCATTTTTAAGTGTATAGTTCAATGATATTAATTTACTTCACATTGTTGTGCAGCCATTACCACTCACCATCTTCAAAGCAATTTTCATCTTGTGGAATATTCTTTCTTTTTAAGGCTGAATAATATTCGTGTGTGTGTGTGTGTGTCACATTTTGTTTATCCATGTGTTGGTGGGCACTTGGGTTGCTTTCATGTTTTTGCTGTTGTGAATAATGCTGTTCGGGAACATGTGCACAGCTGCCTGACATGGGGCTGAGGTGAGGTGTATGAGTAGCTGCCATTGTGCCAAGAGCTGAAACTGACCAAAATAAAAATCACCTGCAATTTTCTGTTTAGGTCTTTCCCCAGAAGTTGCAAATCTTCAACAGACTAGAGAGTCCCCAAATAGTTTCATGAGACAGATTCTACCAATATAACTGTTGTCTAGGTAGGAAGGTAGATTTCTGATGCTCTGTCATCTCAGAGTCCTTTCTCTAATACAGTGGTTCTCAACCTTCCTAATGCCACAACCCTTTAATACAGTTCCTCATGTTGTGGTGACCCCCAACCATAAAATTATTTTCGTTGCTACTTCATAACTGTAATTTTGCTACTGTTATGAATCATAATGTAAATATCTGATATACAGGATGTATTTTCATTGTTACAAATTGAACATAAAGCATAGTGATTAATCACAAAAACAATATGTAATTATATATGTGTTTTCTGATGGTCTTAGATGACCCCTGTGAAAGGGTCGTTCGACCCCCAAAGGGGTCGCGACCCACAGGTTGAGAACCGCTGCTCTAATACATGTTTATTGAGGCGGAATTCAAATATACAATTAACCATTTTAATATCTTTTTAAGGACTCAGATTATAAAACAATTATCTCAGTTTTGTAAATATATGTGCATAGGAAAAAGATTGGAAGGAAATGTATGAATATGTAAATGATGGTCACTACTGAGTGGTAGGATTATAGTTTTTATCTTCTTCCTACATTTCTGTAATCTACAAATAGGTTTCTGTAACTTATATATAGAAGGAAATGATCCCTAAAAAAGAACAAAGACCTTCTCCAGGTATCTGTTCAATTGGGAACACGGTCATAGTGGCAATGTACCTCAGTTGATCTCAAAAGAGTTAGTAGCTTACCTGTACCCCTTTTCCCATTTTATTCAATAAAAACCAGAACTTTCTTATTTATAGGTAAATGCCAAAGAGCTTGATCCAAAATATGCTCATATCCAAGTCACCTATGTGAAGCCCTACTTTGATGACAAAGAACTCACAGAAAGAAAGACTGAGTTTGAAAGAAACCATAATATCAACAAATTTGTTTTTGAGGCTCCTTATACATTATCCGGCAAAAAGCAAGGCTGCATAGAAGAACAGTGCAAACGTCGTACAATCCTGACTAGTAAGTAGGACTTTGCATATGACTTGTTTGACTTGGTCCTTTGAAATAAACACAGATAGCAGCTGGCCAGCCAGAAAATGTAACTGAAATTTTAATCATTCATTGTTCTGCTGTTAAGTCACTGGCTTGCACAAACAGGGATGTGCTAAATCATAGTTTTCCTATATGTAAATCGTGATTGCTCTGAAGTGTCTCATAAAGATAATTTCTTTCTCAATACTGAAGTAATAAGGTTCTCTATGGTACCCTAAAGTATTGTCTAGAGAAGGCCTGGGGAAAATTAAGCACAGTGGATTTTTAAAAATGAATTTGGCTGTTGGAACAGATGACTTTTTGAGATAGTAAATCAATCTTAATGTTTTAATAGCTTCAAACTCCTTTCCATATGTGAAGAAGAGGATCCCTATAAACTATGAACAGCAGATTAATTTAAAGCCAATTGATGTTGCTACTGATGAAATAAAAGATAAAACTGCAGAGCTGCAAAAACTTTGCTCTTCTGCTGATGTGGACATGATTCAGCTCCAACTGAAATTGCAGGGCTGTGTTTCAGTGCAGGTATGTTGGTTGTCAAACACGTATTAGATGTTTCTTGGTGTTTTCTTGCTTTCCTAAGTGGTATAGTCTTATTGAGTGCAAACACCTTTGCATTAATTTTGATTAACTCAATACAGAAATTATGGTCAATTCAAATAAATATTGTGTTATGTAAGAGAACTTTAACATAAATTCCTCTGATGATAGCCAAATTCCGTATTTACATATCAGAAATCATTAACTAATTTATTAGAATATCATCTTTGCAGATTATTTGCTTTAGTTAATCATTTTTCAAATAAGCTTACAGTAAGAATAGTAAATACGTTTCTCAGATGCAGATGTTTAATGTATTTGGGTATTGTTTTCTTAAGAGAAATGCAAAAATTTACATTCTGACAGCTCTCATTTTCCTTCTTCTGTAATCTAGGTAAATGCTGGTCCATTAGCATATGCAAGAGCTTTCTTAAATGACAGTCAAGCTAGCAAGTATCCATCTAAGAAAGTCAGTGAGTTGAAAGACATGTTTAGGTAAGTGCTTTGTAGTTTTCACTATTCTTGTACTCCATTTTCTTCTTAAAAGAAACCAAAATATTCACCAAATAATATCTGTCCAGAAAAAGCCATTCTCTGTTCTCTTTTACAATATTTAAGTGACCTCCTAATGGTAATTACAGAGTAAATGCGGGATCTCTTTCTTGCTGCAGGACATTAATGCCCTAGTGATGCAAGAGATTAAATAAACCAACTTACTTTATTGCTTTGGATGTTGTGACACAAACACAAGCCTAAATTCATTACGCAGTTTCCTCCTTTGCCCCACTGACCTCATGCCACAGCATTTCTGACCATTTAGGGTAGGAATAAAAGTGGAACTGGAAGGATTGGAGAAGCTTGCCTCCTGTCCTATGTCCTTAGTTCCACTTGAATTCTGCCAGTCTCACACATGTACTAGCTTGTCTTGAGTGAGCATCACTGTAATCCAGTGATTCTCAACCTTGGCTGCACGTTAGAATCACCTGAGAATCTTTTTAAAATCCTGATTTCTGGTCCTCAATCTCTGGAAATTCTGTTTCTTTGTTACTAATGTTGTGGCCCCAACCCATAACAAAGAAACAGAATTTCTGGAGGATGAGGCCCAGAAATCAGGATTTTAAAAAGATTCCCAGGTGATTCTAATGTGCAGCCAAGGTTGAGAACCACTGCTGTAAGCTAAGGAATGTTTGAAGCTGTTTAATATATGAAAAGAGTTTACATTCAGAATAAGAGAGACAGTTAAGTAAAGTAGACTAAAGTTACACATTCATTTGCTCCCAACTTATTTCATTTACTTTCCTGTTTGTCACCAGCTGTTCTGGGTGGCAGAGTAACCAGTAGTCATTCATTCACCAGTATTTGTTAGGGCTTGGCATGTACAAAAATATTCTACTAGTTGCTATGACAGGAATAAAAAACAAATGAGCAATGAAGTACTTTGTCTCCTAACACCTACACTCTAATTATGGATATTAAACATAAATACACGAAATAATGGAAAAGTACTTTTATGGTAAGTCATCAACTTTGCCCCCATTCTTACGAATTCGGGGCAGATACTTCATACCAATAGCACCCAACACTGTCCTGGGTACATAGTGAGCCCAAAATAAAGTATTTTTGAATGAATGACTCATTATCTACAGATGCAAATTAGTGTTAGCACAAATGTTGTTGATATAATATCAAGTAAATGACTGAACAAGTAGGCTTACTAAGGGTTATATGTTTTGAACCAGGTTTTAAAGGACATTTGAAACTTGAGAGAAAAGATAGAAAACAAAGGGAAAGGGCATTTCAAATAGGATGTGGCATTAGCAATGGCACAGTGAGAAATTATAGAATTCTAATCTTATAGGCAAAAAAGCCATAGTTAAAGTTAATATCAAAATGATTATCAATGAGACTTTCTGGGAGTAAATAACAAAACCTTTATCTTTGATCTTCATCCACAGGAAGTTCATACAAGCATGCAGCATTGCACTTGAACTAAATGAGCGGCTAATTAAAGAGGATCAAATTGAGTACCATGAAGGCCTAAAGTCAAATTTCAGAGAAATGGTGAAAGAATTGTCTGACATAATCCATGAGCAGGTAAGTTTTAGGGTGGTTGAACATGACAAGATCTTGGATCCTTAAGTGTTACTTAACAAAATCTGTTCAAAATGCATTACCTTGAAATTATTCAGTCTGTATTTTAAAATTTGCTCATATTGTTAATCATTTAAATGACATAATGCAAATCAAATTTGAAGCAATTATCTGAGGCAGTTGCTAAAGCAATTATCAGAAATAAACCATATTGTGCTCTGTGTCACAATGCCATTCAAAGTGACTAGCTGAACAAGTCTGCATCATTCTACTGTGAACATGGATGAGTCTCTATAGAAGGGTCCTAAAGAAGTTAATGATTGGCTCAGTAGCCAAATCCCTAAATGAATATCCCTATTGTGGCTGTAAGAAACTAGATACTGTTATTTAGGTGAGATCCCGAGTGATTTCCAAAATTTGGAAGTTGTCTTAATACCCATACAGCCTGCAAAACTCCCTATTTTTATAAAACTTACTAGCATTTTAATCTATGAGTGTTAATGACAATTATAGCTAACTTAGTAAAACCCAACCTGAAAAGTATAGAAGCGAAGATCCATTCAGCACTTAGAGCCAAATTATGCCATTAAGTACAACCATTTAGATAACACATTCTTAAAGCTGGTTCCAGAAAGGAGACCAACATCTGTCCTGCTGTCTGTATTTCAGTGATTGCTTGAAGGCACTCACCCGTGTGAGACTGCCACACAAAGGGTGTTCTTACAAACAGTCTGACAGTGGTTAGCACCCAAAGAACTGTGGGATGATGGGGAAAAGAAGAATTTTTCTAGGAAAACAACTAGTTGACTTTAAATCAAGCTCTACTTCGCTGAATTTATTTTGTCTGCTTTTTCTAAGGAAGAGCAATAGGGAATTTAGTTACTATTAGCCTAAGGCTGCATTGAGTGACCAGAAGTCTAACTTTCTAACAATTGTCATCACAGTATAGAGAATCCAGTCACCCAGACTTTCATCATCCCATCTTTAAATGACCAGTTGGTTGTCCCAGTCTCCTAATTGCCCTTCTCTATAGCTGGGAATCTTATTGGCTTAAGGAATCAGGAATCAGTGTTATTTTTCTTCTTTTTCTATCTTTACTTCTGTTAGCTCCCTTAGGAATGAGTGCATACTGTTCCAAGGCATCCTTTTGCTGTTCAGTTTTCATAGGCTCTTTTTTGTCTCTTTCTCAAAGCAGCCAGGTGATCAAAACTAGGAAAGTAGGGAACCATTCCACTTTCTTTATTGTCTCTCAAGCTCAGTCCATCAGAGGGGGTATGCCTTTCTTTACCATCACTTTTCTGTGGTATACTTTTATCAAATAGATGGCATAATTTATTCCTAGAAACTGTCCAGTCTATGGGTTTCTGTTCTTCATAATCCTTAGGGAAATAAACAGCAAAAGTTCCTTTTTCACAGAAGATATAAAATAATTATACATGTTATTTTAAGCCAATGTGTATATATTAAAATTGTTTAATTTGCATGCAGCTGCATGACCTAGCTGCATGAACTCTGTTATTCAAATTGAAAACAAATTATTCAATTTACTGCTATGACTGTGATCAAGATATTTAGAGCAGTCATCTTATAGTTTTTTTTTCCTTGAACCATAGATTTTACAAATCTGTTCTTATATTTTTCAACTGTCTCATTTAATTCCCATAAATCATGACTATTTTATTTAGTTGTAGAGACCAATATTTTAGACCCTGGATATTATATATTGTTAGCTAACCAAGAAAAATCTTAGTTTCTATTGGTTTATATTTATGCAAGCTCTCTTGTCATAATATATCATATTCAAATGTGCCTTACTTGGGGCAAACATTGACTTTATAGTGATTTTTTTTGTAAATCAATATTTTTATTAGATTCTCACATAAAAGAGAGCTCCTTTTCAGTCATATACATTGAGACATTGTTTCCCAAAGGAAAATATAATACAAAATTTAAAAATGTAAATGTGTATTGAAATATGATTTATTTTGTTGAGTTTGATAAATGAGTACTTAACAAAAACATATAGCCTGGCCTTTTCTTTTCAATATAACCTGTCACAGTATACCAAAATATACAGTCCTTTTAAAAAGAAGTTTAAAAACTTATTGAAGCTGTTGACTTTTTCAAAGGGACTTATATTGTCTTAAAACTATTAATTACAGATTTCTTAGAGTTTGTGGTGGCCATTGTAGTGTCTGTTCAGTATGTTTTATTTTCTTTACAATGAGTTGCCCATTTCACTGGTCACATCTGAAAGGTATGGACAGTTAGTCATCTCTTAAAACTCTATATGCTTTCAGATTCGTGTCATGAATGATGATTGTTGTAAAGAGGAATTGTCTCTTACAGATTTTATATAAGACATGATTTATAGCAACATAAGTGATAATGATGCATTACTGCCACCATAGACCGATTTGCAGGATTAATACTCAAGTTTCAGAGCTAACTTGAGAGAACCAAGCATTGAAAACTTGAAACCTAAGTTGGGATGGTATAATGAAGATGTTGGAAGTTATATGTGTGCTATTCTTTTATTTCATCTAATCTAAACATAAGATCTCTGTTGCTTTTGATCACACAAAATAGATCATTTAAAAATATGTATACTAATATGACTATATGTGTTTATATATTTATGGGCTATGAACTATATTTGATGACATTCTTCATTTCCATAAAAATCTTATGTATCAATTAGCTTATATAATTATAGTGTGTGCTTAGAAATATGCACCATGACACTTCTCTTCATTTAATATTATTTCCCAAATCTCCAGGGAAGGTGCATGGGTATCAGCATGTTTGTAAAGCCCCACAGGTGATCCTGAGAACCACTGTGTTAGAAGATGGTCCATAAACTCATGTCAAAGAGTCCACTGTTTCGAGATCTTATTATGACTCTGTGCTAGAAAAATATTTTAAAGATTATATTACCTCTCACTTCTTACTGAATTTTTCAGTTTACAGTCTTTTGTTTTTCTAAATGAATAACCAGATATTTTCTGCTTTTTTGCTATGCTGCCTTTGTAATACAGCTTTGAAGACTTAAGTCGGTAATGTTATTTTTTGCTCTTTTTGCTTGATGTCATTTTAAATAGCTAAGTGTCATTGATAAATTGAAATATGCCTGTAATTTCATATACACATACTTTTTTGGCAGTGGCTGTTTTGCTTCATTATAAACATGCATATTTCCTTTGTTTTAGATAATACAAGAAGACACAATGCATTCTCCCTGGATGAACGACACATTACATGTATTTTGTGCAATTAGTGGTACATCGAGTGACAGAGGTTATGGTTCCCCAAGATACACTGCTGAAATATGAGGACCCACAGATGTAAAGTGAGGACGAGACTGACCTTTCTCAGGAATATTTGGAGCTGTGCAAATGTTAAAATTTAAAGATTTGATATACATGGAGTGTTCCCTTCTGACACCAAAATTTTCATGCTTTCAAACAGGGTGCTTACATATTTGTAAATATTTAAGCAACGTGGAAGTGCCTGGAAAATTGCACCCCTGTGCTTAGTTTGTACTTTTTTTAGGTAAATCTATATACTGAGAAATAGAGCTCAAAAACATAAATCCAAATTGCTTAATTATTGCTTAAAATAATAATGGTACTATGTAAAATTGTATAACAGAACACAATAAAAGGTAAAACTTACTTGTAATTCGAAGTGAAGAAAATAATACTTTGAACTTAGCATTTTTCTTGGCAGGAAGTTCAATTCATTATACTGTTCCTTAGAGGAAAACATGATCAAATTTCCTAAAGACATGGGTATTTCTGATTGGGGAGATAATTTGAAATCTTGCCTACTGGTAGTCAAGACTGGGCTAGAAGAGACAAAAGCATTATTTAATAAGGAAAATTTCACAAAGAAAGCACATACATAAAAAATACCAAGATTGCTGTTCCTTCGAGTCTTTTTGAAATATATTTTTATTGATTTCAGAGAGGAAGGGAAAGGGAGAGAGAGATGGAAACATCAATGATGAGAGAGAATTTCCCTAGCCAGTTTGGCTCAGTGAATAGAGCCTCAGCCTGTGGACTGAAGGGTCTCGGGTTTGATTCCAGTCAAGGGCATGTACCTCAGTTGCCTCCCCAGCCCCAGTCTGGGTGCCTATAGTAGGCAACCAATTGATGTGTCTCTCTCACATCAATGTTTCTCTCTCTCCCCCTCCCACTTTCTCTAAAAAAAATTGATGAGAGAGAAGCATTGATTGGCTGCCTCCTGCATCCCCCCACCCGCTACTAGGGATCAAGCCACCAACCTGGACATGTGCCCTGACGGGGAATCGAACTGTGACCTCCTGGTTCATGGGTTGATGCTCAACCACTGAGCAACACCAGCCGAACTTCCTTCAAGTTTTGACCTGATGATGCCAAGTAGTCAAGTTGGTCTCTTCCAACACACAAGACAAGGGATTCCTATGTGGCATGGGTTTCCCTAGCAAGTGGCATTTGTTGCCAGAACTTTATCATCTGAGGCTATCCATAAAGCTAAACAAAACATTTCTGAGAAATTTCAGTCAGTGCATACTATGCAACTTCAAAGCTTTAGTAGCAGAGCCTGAGGTAGGAATTTGTAATGATTATTTTCTTCAGTTTACAAGGTTAGGAAGTATTTTGATAGAACTTGATGGTTGCAGCATTTCTTGGGTCAATGTACATAACCACTGCAGACTTAGCAACTGCGAGTTAGGGATTACATTTCTAATAATGAAGAAATCTCAGACTACCTAAATAAATCAGGAAAAACCAAGATGTGAAGAACTTTTTTAGCTTGAATTATCCATATAATTTTGGCGGCCTTTCATGTAAATTTTAAGTGTTAGACTTATTTTTCTTATGTAGGTTAGCCTATTTTACAGACACACACACAAAAAACAGACACTGAAATATAAATGGATTGTATGGAGCCTTGGCTTTTTAAATACTTCGTGATCAAGTAAATCGTTGAGATTATGCATCTGACTTGGCCATTTTTATTTTTTATTTTCAATTACAGTTGACGTACACTATTATATTAGTTTCAGGTGTATATCCCAGTGATTAGACATTACATAACTTAGTGATCATTTCAATAAATCTTATACCCACATGGCACCATACATAGTTATCAAAATATTATTGACTGTATTTCCTATGCTGTACTTTACATCCCATGACTATTCTGTAACTACCAATTTGTACTTTCTAATACCTTCACCTTTTTCACCATCCCCCCAAACCCCTTCCCATCTGGCAACTGTCAAAAAGTTCTCTGTATTTATGAGTCTGTTTCTGTTTAGTTTGTTTGATTATTTGGCCTTTTTAGATTCAGTTGATAAATATGTATTGCCATTTTATTATTCATATGTTTGATCTTTTTTTTTTCTTAAAGAAAACCCTTTAATATTTCATATCATACTGGTTTAGTGATGATGAATTCCTTTAGCTTTTCCTTGCCTGGGAAGTTCTTTAGCTGTCCTTCCATTCTAAATGATAGGTTTGCTGGGTAGAGTAATCTTGGTTGTAGATCCTTGCTGTTCATCACTTTGAATATTTTGTGCCAGTCTCTTCTGGCCTACAAAGTCTCTCTTGAGAAATCAGCTGGCAGTTTTATGGGAGCTACCTTGTAGGTAACTAACTGCTTTCCTCTTGTTGCTTTTAAGATTCTCTCTTTTTGTTTAATCTTTGGCATTGTAATTATAATGTGTCCCAATGTGAGCCATTTTGGGTTCATCTTGTTTTGGACTCTCTGTGCTTCCTAGACTATTTCCTTCACCAGGTTAGGAAGTTTTATATATATTGTTGTTAATCCTCACCCAAGGATATTTTACCATTGATCTTTCAGAGAGAATGGAAGAGAGAGGGAAAGACAGAGAGAAACATCAATGTGAGAGAAACACATTGATTGGTTGCCTCCTGCACACACCACAACCAGGGCCTGCAACCAAGGTACATGCCCTTGACTGGAATCGAACCCAGGACCCTTTGGTCCACAGACCGACGTTCTGTCCACTGAGCCAAACCAGGTAGGGCTCCATCATTATATCTTTGTATAGGGTTTTCAAATATTCTGGCAGCCCCATGATGCAAATGTTGGTATGCTTGAAGTTGTCTCCAGGCTCCTTTATACTATCCTCATTATTTTAATTCTTTTTTTCTTTTCGCTGTTCTGATTGGGTGTTTTACGTTTCCTTATCTTCCAAATCTTAGATTTGATTCTCTGCTTCATATATTCCACTGTTGATTCCCTGTAATGTATTTTCCATTTCAGTTCATGTATTCTTCATTTCTGACTGGTTCCTTGCTATGTTTTCTAGTTCCATTTTATGTTTCCTATCTCTTTGTTCATTGAGCATCCTTATAACCAGTGGTGTGTTGTTGTTTTTTTTAAATCTTCACCTGATGATATGTTTTTATTGCTTTTTTAGAGTGAGAGGAAGAGAGATAATTTAGTTTCTCCCCATATGTTCCTGGTGCCTTTCTAGCTCTGCCCCCATGCTGGAGCTCAAAGGGAGTGAGTCCAAGTAAGTCTGTCTGTGGTTCCTTTAAGAGGAACAACTGGGACTCCAGCAGGCTTAGTCTCACTCAGCCACAATCCCCATAGGTATTTACAGTCAGAAGTTATGGGGACTTCTCTTCCTGGCACTGGAACACTGGTCTGGGGGCCTGGTGTCAGGCTGGGACCCCTCACTTCTCAGTGGTGATGTTTGCAGCTGAGATATCCCTCCTGATTTTTATCTGCCTGTGGGTGTGGGACCAGCCCATTCTGCATCTCTGTCCCTCCTACCAGTCTCAATGTGACTGCTGCTTTATATCCATAGTTGTAGGACGTCTGTTCAGCTAGATTTCAGGCAGTTCTGAACAATGGTGATTTTGTCGTTTAGCTGTAATTTTGATATATTTGTGGAAGAATATGAATACCACATTTACCTATGCTGACATCTTGACCAGAAACCAGTAATCCCTTGGCCATTTTTCTTTACATGTCGTTTTTAAGTTTTCAGGGGCACATGAAATTATTTATTGAAGGCTAATTTTGTATTTTAATAGGGGACTCAGATATTTCAGTGACAGTTTGTAATTCCTTAATATCTTGACCATGAGTATAAAGGTTTGTTTTAGGCTCTCAGTCTATTCCCATTGATCTACTAGTATATGTCTGTCCTTATGCCAGTACAACATAATCTTGATTACTGTAGCTTTGTAGTAAGTTATTAAATTGGGAATTGTGAGTCCTCTAACTTTGTTCTTTTTTTTTTCAAAATTGTTTTGGATATTCTGGATTCCTCATATTTCCCTTGCATGAATTTTAAACTCAGCTTGTCAATTTTTGCAGAAAAAAAAGGTAGCTGGGATTTTGGTAGGCTTTGCTGTGAATAATTCAATTTGAGGAGTATTGCCTTTTTAACAAATTAAGTTTTCCAATCCATGAATGCAGGATTTAAAAATTTATTTAGGTCTTTCATTTCTTTCAGCAGTGTTTTGTAGTTTTCAGTGTACAAGTCATGTACTTTGTTAAATTTATTCCTTAGTATTTTATTCTTTTTAATGCTATTATAAATGGAGTTTTTTATTTCATTTTCGGATTGTTCATTGCTAGTTTATGGAAATATAGCTGATTTTAGTATATTGACCTTGTATCCTGAAACCTTGCTAAATTCATTTATTAGCTTTAAGGTTATTTTTGTGTGTGGATTCATGAGCATTTTCTATATAAGATCATGTAATCTGAAAATACAGAGACTTTTACTTATTAATTTCCGATCTTCATTCTTTTCCTTTCATTTTCTTACTTTGAACCTTGCAGTAGTGAGAGCAGACATCCTTGTCTTGTTACTGATCTTTGGGAGAAAGCTTTCAGTCTTTCCACCTTTAAGTATGTTGTTAGGGGTGGGGTTTTCATAGGTGCCTTTTATCAGATTGAGACAGTTCCCCTCCAAAATGATTGGCATCTGTTTTCTGATTCGGCTCTCATAGTAACCATATTATTCCTATATGGCATATAGGGAAATAGATGGCAATGGTTAAGAAATGTATTCAATATACACATCAAATTAGAAATGAGACCAAAGTATTCTGACTCACAGTCCATAGTATTTTCAGCTATCCTATATAATAAAAGGGTAATAGGCAAATTGACTGAACAGTGGAATGACCGGTTGCTATGACGCACACTGAGCAGGCAGGCGGGTGAGTGGTTAGGGTCACTCAGGCACACAGGTAAGCAGTTAGGAGCCAGCAGTCCCGGATTGTGAGAGGGATGTCAGACTGCCGGTTTAGGCCCAATTCTAGGGATTACAAGAGTGCGCAGGCCAGGCTGAGGGTCTCCCCCCCACACACACACACGCATTTTGTGCACTGGGCCTCTAGTTTTATATGTTATCCTGTGGTTTGCTGCAATTTCTAGGGAGACCAAAAAAGGTTCAATTCTTCTATGTTTTTACTAAAAAGGTAAGCTTCATAGGGTAGAGTCTGTGATTTTCACCTCTTTTTCTCCAAAACCTAAAAGTGCTTGGCACAGAATAAGTGCTTAAGCAGTCTCAAGGAAATAAAGCCAGTTTAGACAAGCAGATACTTCTGGAGCCTTCACTTTGTACAAGGTAATGTGGACAGTATTACAGTGCTCAAAGAAATTGTAAGGTAAAATATAGTCATATAAAAAGAGAATATGGCCCT